TCGTTCATCGATCGCAGACTGCTGCTTCTTCCTCCTATCACCAATCACAGTGATAACGAAGACATCCTCAGGAGGAAGGCAAGAAGCCGAAGAACAAGACGGAAAACATGAGTTCCACTGCAACGAAGCAGATCCATTATCAGATGGATATTTTCAACGCAGAAACAAGGTTTATATGTTAGAGTTCACCAAGCTCTTAATCAATCAAGTCAATAATAGTCATGTTTTCACCAGAAAGCAAATGGATTGAACATTTTCATCATTCTTTTAATTATCATGTAATTTATGTGAAATCCTCTTGTAGATACGCAACCATGTACTGTTAATTTTTTGCTTTCAGACACAAATTAAAGGCTATATATATATATATAGTATAACAAGTCTGCCAGTAACTCAGTCCAACTTGTTTGCAATGATCTCTCTAATTATTAGTTTATCTACAATAATCACGAGTAAGGTAAGAATTAAGAACTATTCTTCCATCAATTAAGAACTATTCTTCCATCATTTTCTTTGTTTATTGTTTCTTTTTAATATAAGGTCATCACTGTATCTCCCACCATGAAGATGGATTATTGAGTGTGCTTGTCCAGCAAAATCACATATTCATCTTAATTCTCTAGCTCCCATCATTTTCATGGTGACAAGAACAAGGTAAATGAAAATACTCTAAACTAACTATGACAAGCAAATCTTAGATGGAGGCTTTGAAACAAATTAAAGCAGTGATAAATAATAATTCCCTCAACATTTATGCATATATAAATCAAGTTTGCTGAGCCCTAGCCCACCAATGGAACACCCAAGCAGCCGGTGGTGACCACCGGAGAGAGAGGAAACCAACACCATTATCACAGGACGCAGAGGAAACAAAACCCGACAAAAGATGGCTGCAAATCTCCCCGATTAAAAAAAAAAATGGTGAAAGCAAAGGGTTTAAGCTCTTAGCTGTGCATACGAAAAGTGAATCTAATAACTAAACCAGCCATTTCTTCAGCAAGAAAACTCACCGGCGGCAGACTCTGACTATTTTACTTTCATACCGTACAGATCATTCTCGTTCTCACATTCCGGTGATGGCGGCGGCGGCAACAACCACGTGCATAGCTTCCTCAGCGATGCCACGACTGAGTTGACGATGATTATCACAAACGACGACGTTAGTTAGCGCTTCAGCTGCTTGATGCGCCATCTCTGGCAGTCAATTACAGGAATGGATTCGGCAAAAGGAGAGAGAGAGAGAGAATTTTATATTGAACGTCTATGCAGAGCAGTGAAGCTGGTAAGTAAGAAGAAATGGGCGAGGGAAGCCGAAGCTGGAGCTCGAAACTGATAAGAAGAGAAGAGAGAAGAGAAAAGAGAGAAGATGACGATTTGAGTGTAAGAAGTAACATTGGATATGATACGCACATGCAGAGTGAGGGAGCATTGGACCACAATGACGGACCTACTTTTACCACCCACTCTTCTTTAAAGAATAAAAAATAATAAAAAGAAAAATACTCTTGCCCCTCCTCTTCTCGCAAAAATTTCGGTTGTGGCCCTATATAAAATTTTATTTGTCACTATTTACATTTTAATTTAAAGTCTTAAACACATATATTTTTCACTCAATCATGAGAAAGATTCTATTTGTCATCACTATGCCCCACTCCTTTCCTCCATTCCTGGTTCCCTAACTCTCGAATCTTCCACGTGGGCTTCTGCAGTTGTCCACTACGTCTCTGCCCAATAGTCTGTTCGTTCTGGTCTTCTTCAGCATTTGGGCCTTCCTCTTGGTCCAGTGGATAAAAATTAGGCTTATACATATATACATGCATATATCTGAAAACATAAACATCAATTTTTATAATTTCATTGAGTTTTATTTTTAATTTTTATAATTTTTTAATATTTTCAATCTCTTATAGTTTGAACAAGATTGAATAACATTTATTTCTCAAATACCTATAGTTTAAATGTTTTCAATTTTTATAAGGATTGAAAATACTGAAAAAATTAACGAGACTGAAAACAAAATTTGATAAAATTATAAACACTAGTGATTTTGCTTTTTTCCATATATATATATATATATATATATAAAGGAAAGAGCAATCTAGAAATGTTTAGGATCCCCAGAATCCCAACCACATGCGCTGGAATTCGCATGCATCGGCTATGAATCAAAATAAATCCATTTCTATTGTTGCTGGTATTGAAGTATTTTCTTTCAAAAATATTCCTAGCTTGTATTCAAAATCTAGAGGTTTTGTATTTTTTTTCATTAATATTTTTAGGGGATCTAAAGAAATTGGGCAATGTTCCCTTTTTGTTGTAATGCTAGGGACTCTTAAACTCATTTTTATTGTAATGTTCCCTTTCAACTTTTAAAAACCATACAATTTGGTTCTATTATTAACAAAAGTTAATTTTAATCACTTGTTGACAAGAAAATGACAAAAAGGGACTTTGAAATTACACAAATGGATGCAATAAAATTTTCTTGATCCATTTTTGTAATTTTTTGAGTCATTATCTATAATTTTTAGGTCCCTCAATGTAACTTTTCTATAATTTTTGACATCCTTTTATATTATTTTCATGTTAATTACTTGTCAAAGTTAACTTTGTTAACAATAAGGATCATATTGTGCCATTTTCAAAATTTAAAAATAAATATTATATTAAAATTGAGTTTAGGGTCTCAGATGCTTATAGACCCAAACTTTAGGGGCCAATTTGCCATTTAAGATTATTTTTAATCCTAATATATATTTAAAGAATTCCTAAAATCTTCCTAAGTCTTGGCTTAACAACACTTCACATCCACTTAAAAAAAGAAAGTTGTGAATTCTAACTTCAAATGATATGGAGGGTTGAGTGTGTTTGTAAGTCCTAAAAAGTAACAACAAGTGAGGAAGGTGTATGTAAAAAGTAAAAACATTCTCAAAAAAGTAAATATAGTATACTTATATGTTCCATATCTCATGTGTAGATCAAAACACACCGTTTTCGGCATTGTACCCCTTACTTCTCCTATCCAATGAGTTGCTTCAGTACCATTTATAAAATACATTCTAAAAGATCTATTTAATCTTATTTATAAGTTAAGATGCAATTTTTAGGTAATATTTAAAAAGAAATGTGACATTACTTTTTGAATTTTTTATAGAGAGAATGACAGTTAGGTCACAAAACAGTAAATTAATACTGGTTTAGTCCCTAATAATTTTTTTTACAAAATAAATTATAAATATCAATTTAAATAGTTACAAACAGAAATTTATGTTACAATCTAAAAGTTAAATTTGATATTTAAATATTTATCTGTAATTGAAACTCCCAATTTTATAATAATTTGGATTGATATTTTCAACTTACTTTAAAAAAAAAATTGTCAAGAACATAACTGGTATTAACTCACTGTTTTGAGACTTAACTGTCATTCTTTTTTTTTTTACATAGGAGCATTTTTAAAATTTTATATACTTTTATTTCATTTAATTTTTTTACATTGATATTTGGGAGATTGGTGGGAGTAACTTATAAAAGGCTCTGAAGGGAGTATTGACAAATCTGACACACTTACATCAAATTCATTAAAATATTGTCAAATAATATATTTGCATCAGAATCAATTTTTAATAATTTTTTGAGAATCAATTTTCATTGATCAATTTCATTACTGAAATTATTTCTTAAAGAAAGGGCAATCGCAGAAATGTTTGGGATCCCCAGAACGCCAACAACATGTGCTGGAATTTTCATGAATCAGCTTTGAATCACATATCTCGTAACTTGGAGCCACCATCCTAAAAAATACTCAAACTCTACCAAAATTATCATTCTCAAGCCTCCGACTTGGTCTTGGATCGGACACCAGTTCCTGCCACGTTACACCCGTGTGTTTTGAATTAAATAAAACAAATACTCTCTCTTCTTATATAAATACTTGTGATATTATTATAAAATACGTGCAAATTGGATAATATTCCTGTTCTGAACTTGCATCCAATAATTGCTCTTCAATCATCCATCCATACTTTTCTCCAACACACTTCTTGAATCACCAACGTTCCATCCAAAGTAAATGCTTCTTTTATTATTATTTTTAACACATTTTACCGAAACAAAAAAATATTCCTAAAACTTATTAAAATTCTGTTTAAAAATTTAATAAACTTTTAATTTTGGGCTATTAAATATCTGTGTTTTAATAATATACTTTTTCTCACCAATTTTAATAGAAGATAAAAAAAAACTTGCAATAAAAATTTAATAATATACATTTTATAATCATGACAAAAATTTTAGGTACTTTTTTGTAATTTTTTGAGTCATTGTCTATAATTTTTAAGTCCTTAGGCATGATTTTTTTGGGTCCCTTTTGTAATTTTTAAGATATTTTTTTGTCATTTTTCAATTAACTAACAGTTTAAAGTTTACTTTTGTTAACAATAGGAGCCGAATTGTACTGTTTCAAAAGTTAAATGAATAATTTATACAATAAATAAGTTCAAATGCATGGTGTTACTCATAAAGTTTTAAGATAATTTGCTTATCTACCTAAAAATCAATTCAAAAGAAATCTATTTCTATTGTTGCTGATACAAGAGTTTTTTTTTTTTTTTAAATGTTCCTAACTTGTTTTCAAAATGCAGAGGTTTTGTATTATTTTAATTAAACATTATTACGGGATCTAAAGAGATTATGTAATTATTTATGTACATAAATTATGTTAATTCATACATATTAGTTGAAAAGAAATAAACCACAATTTTTTTAAATTTCTCAAACAAAAAATATATTATATTGATATTAACTTGTAAATCCCAAAGAGAGGGATGCAAACAACGATGGTGTGGGATTTGAGTGCGCACAAAACATATTATAATATTACCGTTTAAGATTTAGAAAAATCATAGAACCTTATTTTTGTCATCGATTTCATTCAGTTTCACAAACCGTGAGCAATATGCTTTTCTTCTCTCTCCTCTCATCACTAGTCACGGTAACAAAGACATGCTCGCGAAGAAGCCGAAGGAGGAGCCGCCCCCCCCCCCCACCTCTCTCCCCCCTTCCTTCATGGCAGCTTCTTCCTTCTTCTCTTCACTTTTCCTCCCCTAACCCTAATTTCCATCTCTTTCATAGCTCCAAAACTCCACCAATTCTCGTTCTCCTCCCTCCGAGAGAAAATCGTTTGCCGTACATAGCGACCGGAGAGATTTTCTTGAGACTAGCTTCGCTACTGATTAATGGCTGGAGCAGCGGGGCACTGTTGTCGGGGATTCCAGATCTGTGACCATGTTTGAGCCTGAGGTCCTGTAGCAGCGGAGGCTGAGCGTCAAAGGTGCGTGGTTACCAGTCCTCGATTTAGTATCTCCGAAGCCGGGCTTTTGTTTCTGTACATATGTATACAAGAAACTGTGTATCTCACGACTAGATAATATAGATCCCTTCAAAACATTTTGTTTAGCTCGCTTTGGGATTCTGTGGCACAGTCTGTATCTGAACTTCCATTCCGTTCCGCCCAAGTTGGCAGGTAGGAATAGTAGTTTTCTGGCCAACAAGATAGAAATGAAGGTAACATCTATTTCCCAAAAAAAAAAAATGGTTGACTTGACCAAGAAAGTTGGATGAGAGTACCATTTTAATTCCTTGAAAATCACAATAATAAGCTTCGGTTTCTTCAACACAGAGAAGGCGAGAAGCGAAATACAAGTCCGATGGCACTAAACTTGGCGAGGTCTAAACGCAGATGAAACCAGCTGATCAGAAAGCAAAACATGAGTCCCGCCAGAGCAACGAAGCAGATCCACCAGATGGAGATATATTTTCAACGCAGAAACAAGGTATATATGATAGAGTTCACTAAGCTCTTAATCAATCAAGTCAATATTGGTCATGTTTTCACCAGAAAACAAATGGATTAAACATTTTCATTATTCTTTTAATTATCATGTAATTTCTGTGAATTCCTCTTGTAGATCTACACAACCGTGTAATGTTAATTTTTTTTCCTTTCAGACACAAATTAAAGGCTCTGTATATAACAATTCTCCCCAATAACTCCGTCCAACTTGTTCGCAATGATCTCTCTGATTATTAGTTTATATACAACAATCACGAGTAAGGTAAGAATTAAGAACTATTCCTCCCTCTTTTTCTTTGTTTTTTTCCCCTTTTTAATATAAGGTCATCACTAGTACTGTATCTCCCACTCTGAAGATGGATTATTGAGTGTGCTTGGCGAGCAAACTCACATATTCATCTGCTTAATTCTCTAACTTCTATCATTTTCATGCTGACAAGAAGAAGGTAAATGAAAATACTCTAATAAGGGAACAACTGCTCCTGGCCAAAAAGTAGAAGGTATACTTTCTTTGACCCAATATAGATTGTTACATATTTTTCGTTTTAGCATGATAAGAAGCTCGTACGTTTATCTTGTTATGGGAAAATTCAATACTAAAAATGTAGAAATTACAATACCCTCCACAAATTTCATAACTTGTAACTCACTAGTACAAATTTGACTTTTTATGGGGAGACTTTTTACATAGGTTGTTTGGCAAATGATATAGAAAATCAAGAAGGTAGCAATTTTTTAATTATCAATTTGAATTGATATAGAAAGTTTTTTTTTACATCGATTCCTAAAAAGTAATATTTTATACATTGGTTGCTTAGTAAACTGATGTAAAAAGTGATTAAAATTTTAAAAATTTTAAGAATTTGTAAAAAGTGATTAAAATTTTAAAAATTTTAAGAATTTATTACTTTATACACCGGTTCCTTAAGGAACCAACATAAAAAGTCTTTTAAAAGTTCCCTTGCATTCACTGATCTCCATCATCACTCTCAAGGTCTCACTACTGAACCCTAGATCGTCAATAGATAACTCATCGAACCCCTCATCTACTCTAGCCTCCAACATCTTCAACCTCTCTATTCTAAACTCATCAGCTGTTGCTATTGCAATCTCTGATCTCCCCTCCATGCCTCCTTGTTTGCCGCTGTTGTCCGTTCACTCCTCTGTCATCAATGCCTCCTCATCGTCGTTAACCCACGGTGCTCCTATTCGCTGTGCCCTAAACTTGTTGACCTTCGTTGATGCTCTTTCTTCGATATTTTGCTTGTATTCCTCCATTCTTGCCAAGAGAAGAGAGGTAATGTTCTATGGGTTAAATGCCCTATTTGATTTAGGAGATTTAGAATGGTTGCTCTCTAATTTAGGATGCACGAATCCTTCATATATATCCTTGAATTAATGAATAATCCGCTTTAGAATGGTTGTTCTCTGAATATATATGCGTCATATGTTATCTCACTTGATTTGTTTTATTCCTATTTAGCATGCTGGGTTTGTGTTTTTTTCCCTTTTTCCCAATGGCTTGTGCGTATATTCGCATTCAATTCAAGCTTTAACAACTACAGCTTTGATTGGATGTTTTGGGTGTTGGATCTATCGCCTTTACATTCTTGCCAAAAGAATAAGAAAGGACTACTGGTTTTATTTTGTTGCATTATTGTGTATTTGGTTTGTATTTGATGGAATCTGTTCAGCAATAAGAACTGTAAATTAGAGCTGCTTCACTGAGAAAAAGGAAAAAAAAGCTAAAGAAGACTAGAACAAAGGACTTGGAATTAGGCATTTTGGTGGTGTCCCTTTGGGAGAAGCCTGCACTTAGTGGTAGTTGTACATTTCTGTTCTATCACTTAACAAGTATTCATTATTTTGTGTTTGTTTAAGAATCTTGGCCTATTCAGATGTGTATATGTGAATGAAAAAGAGATACGACAGAAAAGCAAGGACTAGGAGTGTTGGGTAAATTTACTTGTATCACTTCAAGCTTACTAATATAGCTGTGGTTGATCTTTGAATCACTTTCTGATTTTTTTAATCATGTACTCCTATATATAGCTTTTACAGAAAATAAACTGGCACTGGTACATGATTAATTATGAAAGATGAATATATATACATATATGCTGTGACTTGTTAAGTGGGTCCAAAAGTAAGGAAATATCTCAGATTAGTTTTTTTTGCTTTTTGATATTTCTGATGCTGTTTTAATTTCTAAGAAGGGTGAATTTTAATTTTGATCATTTCACGAATAATATAACATTCATGAACCCTCTCATACGTTTATTGGAATTGAGAAGTATAAATTGTTTACTTTTTAATGTTTGCACACAATGGGTGAAGGTAATTTTTATAGTTTCTCTTTTTTTTAAAAAAAAAAATTTCTGCCCCTCTAAATCCTTTATATTAATATATTATAGCTGCAGTCGTGGGAATCTTGAGCTCAATCATTTCGCATCAGTAAAGCTTTCCACTTGTCATTCTACTTCTCCGTTAGTCCATCTACTATTAATGAATAAGCCAGAAGCTTTCATTCTCCTTTTGGTCATTTTGAAGCTAATATATTGTATTTCAAAATTGCCTTTTCTTTTTATTCCATGCTTCTTTTTAAATGTCCAGATTCAAATTCATTTTTGAAGTGCCTAATAGTATGAAGATGATATTGTACTGGCGCTTCATAATAGAATGTTCATTTTCTGAAAGTCAGTTAATAATCTTATTGTTCTTTCATTATTGTACTCCAAATAGGAAAGATTGAGGATGAAATAGACAATCCAAGCAATGAAATTATTTATTGGTTTATTGTTCTTCCTTTTCATTATAAATTTATTGTATTCTAAATGTTGAAAATATCATTAAACTTATTGAAATATTAGAATTTATTGTATTTATTATAGAATTTATTAAAATTTATGTAATGATAATAAAATAGGGTCTTTTTAATGACCATTTTGTTTGTTTTAAAAGATAATTTTGCACACCAATTCTAGTTGAAACCGATGTTAAAAATAAACTTTTTACATTAGTTCTTATTACAACCAATGTAATTATGGCTTGTACATAAGATGACCGTTTTGTTTCTTTTTATGGCTTGTACATAAGATGAGAAGGAATAATTATAGCATATTATGAAAATTCATATCAATCGGTCTAGTTGAACAAAAAAAAATTGTTAAACCAATATCTTGATATTAATAAAATATTTTGTGACTAATTTGATTACAATACAATTTTAACTATTAAATATTCTAATTAGTGTCTTGATTGATTTGGTTTTCAATGCTTTTAAAGAGAAGGAATGAATGAAATAATTTATCATTATGCATTATTATAAAAACAAATAAAAAGAACAAGATGCTAGGTATCGATGGAATTGAAGACCACAACCCACGGGAAAAACATGTCACACATTAGGAAAAGGACAATTAAAAACACAAAAAAAGCAAAGCTCAAGCCTCAAGGAATCCACGCCAGCGCGCCAGGACAATCAAAAGCTGGGATTCAGAAGTTTTTTTTTTTTTCCCATTCTTTTTACAATCAAAAGCTCAAGCCTGAAGAAGTATTAAAAAAAAAAACAAGAAAAGAAAAGAAAGGAAAAAAAAACAAGAAAAGAAAAGAAAGAAAACCTCAAGCCCCAGGTATATTCTATAAAAGCCTCAAGAATTTGGCCAGTGAAAATGATCTCTACCTCATACAGCTGATAAAGTAGCTTCCTTATCTGACTAACAATTGGCATTAGCGCGTGACATGGTGTGCGGTCCTGCATGATGAATTTAATCCCTTCAAGTGAATCTGTATGAACTTTAATCTTGCACAAATTTCGTTCCTCACACAGCTGAAGTCCAGCTTTGACACCTTCAAGTTCTGCTTCAGTAGAGAAACCATTTCCCAGCATCTGTTGGAAACCCAAGATCTAGTCTCCTCGGTGATCTCATGTCTCAATATTCCATCACAAGTTATATGACCCGAAGCATCCACCGATTCTATAAGTCCCTCGTAACTCGTGCATGTTAAGCATCGTCCTCAACCTTTGTTGGAGAATATATATATATATATACATGATGAATATATATAACATAAAAATTAGCACAAGTCATACCATTCCAAATTATTGGAGAACAGCTGTAGCCGTTAATTACGGGACGTCGAGGCATGACAATCGAAGGTGGCCCCCACCCTTTGTTGGTGCCTTCCGGCTGTCTGATTGCGCATTAGACAAATGTCTGACTCCGGCTGTCTGACATGAACATGACACACTAGATTTAAATTCGTATTTCCACTAAATTCATAACAGCTGCAATTATTGTATCGGAAAGAAAGAATTAGAGATGATACTGAGGACAATGAAGACGAATGTTTAACTATGACATTTGGTCTCCCAATATTTAGTTTTAATATAGAAAAGAATATGAATATGGATGTGAATCCAATATATCATCATAGATTTTAATTTAGGAAAAAAATTTGTTTATAAAATATTTATCACCAATAAATTAAATCTCTTTGAATTCTGAGTTGGTAGATTTCCGTTTCTATGTTTCAATATTTCTGCAAAAAAAGTGCTTCCACCAAGGCACTCTTGCATGTAGCAGGTAGACGGAAGCATTCTTACATAAGTTAGATAAAGCTCCCTCGAAACTGGAGGATGTAGCGCCAGAGGTCCAAGAACCCTTGCCTTGGAAGAAGTGAACCTTGGCACCCCTGTGGAGCCGAGGTTGTCTAATGCGGAAGCCAGCCCAGCACACACAAATAGATATTTAATTGCAGACTCTTTCAGCTTCTGTCAACTTCTCACGAAACCTCCACGAAATTCTATCCGCCCCAAAGAACATTTAGTCTCACGCCAAGCATGTGCAGAGCTTCTTCACCAGGGCTTCTTCTTCTTCTTCTTCTTCTTCTCCTTTCTCTGTAGTAAGTGAGTTGATTAAAAAAAGCTAATTTAATTTGCCCCCATTAAGTGAGTTTAGGAGGTTTGTCTCCAATTCTTTGACATACCGCACCCCCTCAACCGGGGTCTAGGGGTAATTCAATGTGGATAAGAGGTGTGACCATGGAGAAAGAAACAAGCAATATATAGTTAAATGCTGAAAATAATCCTGCCACGTAGAGAAGAGAAAGCTGGAGTTTTGCACCTCACTTGTCTGGAAGATATATATATATATATATATATAGTATATTTTTTGAAACAATTTAAATTTAAACCTTATTCTTCTGTTTTAAATTAAAATATTATGAATTTAATCATTAAATACTTTTTATCTTTATTATATTATTTTTAAATAAAAATATTAAAAATGGGAAAATATTTTTTCGGCGAGTAAAAAGTAAAAACTCTTTGAGTAAACAATATTGAAAATTTAAAATTAAAACTGTCTTAGTGAGAAAAATCAACTTTTTTATGCTTTTCAGAATTTTAAATCAACGTTGTTATGTCTCTGAGTAAAAATTATTAAATAATATATTTATATAGACACATATTTTGATAGAAACAAATATGTAAATACTTTATAACCAAATATGGAAAATAAAATAAAAGCAAAAAGCTGCAAAACAATAACTCAGCAAAAATGACAAAATGATCTGCTACTAATGAATCTGGATGACCAATCCATGATAAGGCCTTTCTCATTATTCCCTTTTTTATATAGTGACTAACACATTTCTTCCACTCCTTCTATCTGATTAACGAGAGATTGCCTCATTCTATACCTTGCTATGTGAAAAAGCAACATATAAAATCAAAATTAATTACCCCCAGGTGTGGGGGGGGGGTGGGGAAGCTATTTCTTAGCGAAACATGTAGGATTAGGAACGGTAACTCAAACAAGGATTGGTCAGTGAGTAGATTTGTGAAGATAATTAGAGGGAAGTGTGTGGATGAAAAGTGGCCGATATGTTGAAGTGATCGCCCGAGAGAATCATTGCTGGAAACTGGAAAGGAGGAAGCTTTGGGAGATTTAATTTGATGATACAAAGCCGTATTGCTTTTGAATTGTTCAAATACTCGAATCCCTATATGGAAAAATTGTAAAATCATGCACCAACCACCACTCTACTGAGTAGCACATCATCATCATCATAATGGCGCCATAGTATATAAGACAGGACCATGGTGATATCAATTCATCTTTTGAATCATTAGTTATTAGTGAGAAATTCTTTTTTATGATGCCCAAAATCTAACATGGATAATTCCATGGTTGGATTAAAAATTACAAAATTGAAGTTAGAATGAACTAAGATTTGTAAATTGAAGCTAGAATAAAAGTATGTAATTATAACATTTTTTGAAAAACAAGTGAGGAAAGGCAAGTTGCATGTAAAAAAGAAAGGAAGGCAAGAAGAGTGTATAAAATATGGATTTAGATTTACAGGACAATGCATGATCAATTGGGATTTAAGGCGCAAAAAGTGAGGGGCGTGCAAAAAGAGAAAGGAAAGGAAGAAAAGTAACGTACTACAATACAATGCAATAAATAAATAAATTTTTCCCGTTGATGGGGGGAGATCTCATGGGCTTTGTGTGTTCAAATTGCCGAACGGATTCGAGTGTGGGAGCATGTTTAATGGTTGCCATGGAACCTCGAACAATTACCAAACCTAGCTGAAAGAGGTCCGCTCACACAGTTTTGTTTCTGCTTTTACGACTTCTAGCCTTTTTTTTTTTTTTTGAGTAAAAGGGAAATACATTAAATCAAGAGGAAACTGTACAAGAATGCAATCAAAGCATAAGAGAAATTAACATATTACAGCAAAGTAGTAATAGTGGAAAAACAGTCTAAAGAATGATTGACAACAATTTTAATATGTGAAAGCACATCATTTTCCAAAAAGCTCTCCTTAGTGAAGATGCACCGGTTCCAGATTTCCCATAGCTTCCAGCAAGTAATACTAATGCCAATCTTCCAGGATGTATCAAGACAAGGATTGTGTAGGCAGTCAATGAATCAAGAGCTGATAGTCTTCCGGTAGAAATCATTACACATATCCAAGGGAAGAATTTTCTTTCAGACTGATGCAACAAGAGGACATTCTTTAAAAGAGTGATTACGACTCCTTGCCTTTTCAAACTTACCATTACTGAATCTAAATCATAGATATGATTATGACATAAAGCTATTTATATGATTTA